CTGTCTCTGGATCTATTTTGTTCATCAGTCTATTCTGTTCATTAGATTCCACATATCCAGTCTGTTTAGAACCTTCAGAGGCTCTTGCGGGGGGTGTATTATGTTCCTGATGAATTTTCTCAAGTAAACTTTATTGTTAGCCTGTTTTTCCTGTGTCCCTGCTTATCTGTATCCTGAGTTCCTAGGGTGACTGGCACATGGCACCTGTTTAAGTTGGTTATATTGAAATTAGCATAAATGGAAGAATTTCTGAGGTCCCAATATGGGTCTCAAACTAGATAGGTAGCACACACTAGGTATAAACTGAACAACTGGCCTCTTGTTCACTAATCAGACTGCATGCTTCAATTAGTCCAGCCTTAGCCAGGCTTACTGTACAAAAGGATAGAATAAAGATTTACGGGCTAGAAATAATGGGGACAGCTGGAGTTTAAATGGGACAGTGCACAGGAGAATTTCAGACAGAGGGTGGCATGAACAGAAACGTCTATAATTGTGGATTGTTTTGTGCTGGGTCCCTAACCCGGATTTGTTTCCTCATGCAGCTAGGCCCTTGGTGCCCATTGTACAGCATGGCCCCTGATTGGTAAAGACACCTGTCTTCTAAAGAACGTATCTCTGACATTCAATCTGGTAATCTTACTAATAGTGAAGTCCTAAAACAGGTTTCCCCAGTTCAAACTATAGAAGGGTAGACATTATAGTTCCTAATGATGCTTGATGTTAAATTTAAACATTTTACGGTCATACACCTATAGAACTATATACTCCTTTTAACCCTACTTGTGTTTAGTATATTGGCCAAAGTCTACTAGGTTGGACTCTTTTAAGATAACACAAAGATAAGGTAAGGGTGTGTGTGTGTATTTTAAACTTTTTAATGTGGGCCTGTGTGTGAGAACCCGAGTTTCAAAGTGGAAAGTGTTAGCAGTAATAGAATCACATATAAGTCATATCTTCGAAAGGCACAGTTTAACTTATTTTCACATTTTCAAAGTAAGTGTTTTAAAAAACAAAGTTTAATGGCAGGACTTTGTTTTTGTTTTTAATGGTAGTTTATTTTAAAGATATCTCTACCCATATGTGCATCACTTTTCTTATTTGTATATAGAATTTTCTCAAATTCTTTTTTGCTGTTGTTAGTCTTCACCTGAGGATATTTTCCATTTTGGGAGAGGGAGAGGGAGAGAGAGAGAGTGGAAAAGAGAGAGGGAAAACACATCGAGGTGAGAGAGATACATCGATTGGTTGCCTCCCGCATGCGCCCCAACTGGGGCCGGGATTGAACCTGCAACCCAGATATGTGCCCTTGACAGAGAATTGAATGTGTGACCCTCTGGTGCGCAGGCCTACGCTCTACCCAGATATGAAGTCCAGGAGGAAGACAGAGCTAATGCTCTGCCAACCTATGACCACCTCTGTAAGAATGGTTAGCTCTTCTAATTTTCTGAGAACTCAGCTAGACACAGTACAAAACAGTAGTGCAGACTAATTTTGTAGCCAGTATTTTATTAATACAATTCTCTAACTAGAACCCAGTAAAAGTAAAACAAATATTTAAGAAAACATCCACAGAGTTCTTAACAAAATTACCATTGCGTGCTGACAATCTTGTTGGGGCTTAGAAATCCAGGCCACAGTGAAATACTCTACTGCATTTGGACCTTTATTCACAAAGGAGTAATCGTATTTCATAGTACATAAATTCTAAGAGTTTTGGGGTGAGGATTTTCTTATTCAAGGTGTCCAACCTTTTCACATCCTGGCCACCTATGAAAGGATAGGATTTGTGCATTTGTATGTGGCTGCCAGTAACCAGCCCAAGAAGGGCTTCCTGAGGGGAGCAACTTCTCAGCCCTTGGAACCGGAAGTTTTGTAGTCAGCGCGCTCCCAGCTGTGTGCTCTGCTGCAAACGTGTTACCAGTCCCCACGGCTCTGCTAGGGCAGCGTGTGCTCCACTATAGCACCAAGAGTCAAAACGGCTTTTAAAAACTTGTTTAGAGGCTCAGTGCAGTTTTAGTCTTCATTTCTCCTAAGTGTCCAAGCCTAATCATTTTTGTAATCTGAGCCTGTTTCAATAGCAAGTCAGGGCTTGGATATTGTCTGCACTCTGCTTAAGTGCACTGGTGCTTAAATACACCTCATAATGATCAATTTGGACAGTCTAAGAGTCTTATTTAACTAAAATAAAATCTTAAAAAGGGAACACCCTTCATTGAGGTGGTTTTTCTCTATTAGTTTGAATGTTAGCTATGGTATGAAACCTGAGGGCTAGACAAACAGGAATATTTTTCCACCCAGTTGTTTGGGATTCTTCCTGGCCACACTGATAAATGCCCGGGGAAAATATACATGTACTCCTATTTTTTCAAAATGCCAGTGCCCCATTAACCTAAGTGGTGGCTGAAATAAGTCTCATGGAAGGCATTTTTATGGCTGTAAATCTGACACTGGCATGGCAACCCTTTCTCCCTCAACCATGCCAACTTTGCTCTGAGAATACCATTAAAATTCCTTTTAGGTAATGTGAAATGTGGCCATTAGATCCGGGTGAGTTCAGAAGAAAGTAATTTCTAAATGGAAAACCTACAGGAGAATAAAGACACTCAGACAGTTCTGCTTTTAAGAATTAGAGTGTTCTGGATAAGACCAGCTTGCATTTTAATAACAATTAAGAGCTCATCAAGTTTGTTTTTTAAGGCTTACCTTGAATGAGTAAAAATAAAAATCCCTCACAAATCAAGTTTACTCTGTAGCCAATAGCCTACAATGAAATTTTAATCTTTCTTGCTCACATGATTTCTTTTCTTCTCTGTTCTAACTTTTCTCAGTTGAGCCTGTATGATAGAAAAAACAATCAGTATCTCTCCTCATGCCCTTATCTCACCCCAGTGAAAAGCAGGAGAAAAAGAATATGCAGATTAAAACAGAATACACATTCACTTGTTGTTATCAGGCGCATTTCACTCATTCTAGGACAGTCCCAGGGAAAAAAAAAAGGCAGGCGGGTTTGTAGACCGTCTTACCACGACACTCCAATTGTGCTGGGAGTGCCCGCTGCTGTTAGAAATACTCAGTCTGGACAATTTCCCTAAGGGAATGCGGTGTCTTGGCAGCCTGGGCAGTGCAGGCCCTGGGCTCCTTCATCAGGGCCAGCCCAGCACAGAGCTTGAGTTCGAGGCAGAGGTGCTGCTGCTGTTTCCCAGGTGAACAAGAAGCAGGTGAGTAGCAAGCACTCTCCTAAGACGGGTCTTTATTGGGTGGTGACAAGCTTCACAATCGTGCTGATGATGCGGGATCCTCGAGGACACATGCACAGGTCTATGCTCGGGTTCTTGATCTTATCCTGGAGGAGCTGGTCAAGCTCGCAGCGCAATTCCTTCACTAACTCCGCCACCTAAAAGGGAGTGCCATGTCAGTGGCGCGTGACCAACAGGAGAGGGAGATTATCAAAGGAAATGCCCGTTATCATTCTTTGAGACTCCTGGTATGAATTTTAACTTCATTGTGGGGTGGGGGTGGAAACTAAATACATTTTCATTCTAAAAATGCTTCTAAAAGTTCTTGACCCAACAATAGGTACATTCACTCACTGTGAGCTCGGATATACAAAATGGGATCCAATATAAAAAGGCTCCTCTATCCCATCTCATTGAAAGAATGGCTTTTATGTAGTGTTCTCCATATTAAAGCGTGGCCAACTTTTATAATTTGCTCCAAGAAGAGAAGCCGGAAAATGGAGAATTTAAAAAAATCTTTTAGCTTTGGGATACACTTTATGCTTTTGTGGGGAGAAAAACCACACTTTTATGTCACTTTGCTTGTGCTGATGTTTCAGTGGCACTGTAGATGTCTTCCCAACATCCGCCTTGTCCCTCCCCCATTGTTCGGCAACGTGTAGTCTGGACCCTGATCTAAATCCAACAGGCTCATGCCATCCTTGCCAAGGTGAATGGCTCAGGTAATCCCGGCCTTAGCGCCCATGACATTCCTTTGGCCATCAGAACTGGTTTAGGAAAAGAAGGTTCAATG